TCCTCATGGCTGACGTTCCTACTAGCGCCATAGTCAGGCTCCTGTTTCTTATGGGAAGGTGCACACCTGAGCAGGCCTTTCCTGTAGTGTCAGACTGTCACATAAGAAAGTCTGTCCTGTTAATGCAGTAGTTCTTCAGATGTTAACAGCTCTTCATCTTGCCTTGACTTGTGTTAAYAATACATCACTTTCATATTTGGAAAAGCTTAAATTATAAAAATAGAGAGGCTAATTTCATGATTGTAGTTTTAAAGCCATATGGTTTGTTGTCTTTAACAGAATTCACTTTTACAAATAGGTTTTGAGATGCAGTAAAATAGCTGGTGTGAAAGTAGCAGAAATTACAGAGCTAATACAGAAAGCTCTGGAGAATGACCAGAAAGTTAGGTAAGTTTTCAYTTTTTCAGAACTAAATGGTCTTTTAAATACATATTTCTGGGCCTTTCTTGTTCAAGGTCAACAATATAATTATCACACTTGATCTTTCCTTATTTGTTAACCTTAAATGAATATACTACTTGTGTTTTTGAAAGTTGATTAAATTCTATTATATTTTATTCCTGTTTTTAAACATTACTTTTATTGAAAATCCGTAAGATTTTTTTTTTTTTAATTCACATTTTCTTAGGGGAAAAACAATCTGGTAACTCAGTTAATGGAAAGAACACAAATAAGTTGATTCCTATCTCTACTTCTTACTGTGTTACCTTACCAAGATATGTAATCTAGGACTTCAGTCTCTTTTGTACCATATGTGAGGCTAATACCTTCTTGGTAGGCTGATTGAGGATCAGAGAGTGTACTGTAAGCACCTATCACATGCCTGGTACATGATTCCATAAATGATAATTATGGGAATTTGTTGTTATTTCCTTGACAGGCATGTTAGTCAAATAGACTATTCCAATGTTTCTCACCACTGAAGGATAAAATACTTTTACTTCTCTGTTTTTTTTCTTTCATCTGTCTTTATCATTCTCCGTCCACCCAYCCACAACAAAAACCCACATACAGGAAAGAAGGTGGAAAGTTTGGCTTTGCAGAGTCTATAGCAAATCAAAGAATCACAGCATTTAAAATGGAAAAGGCCCCCRTCGATACCTCAGATGTAGAGGAGAAAGCAGAAGAGATCATGGCTGAAGCTGAGCCTCCTCCAGAAGTGTATCTTTGCTGTGTGGTTTGTGCATAACAAGAGGGATAGCGCTGTTGGCTTTACTGATGTTGTGTGTGCATACTGACATTTCCTTTCTGAAATACTGTTAGAGAAAAAACTGAGTAATATGAGTCATATGAAGTCGACAGTTTAACATCTAGCTTCTCTTTGGTTACTCTGCAGAAACCAGAAAATTCTCAATTGTGAGACCCATTTTAGGGACTGGAGGTGTGTTTCAGTGGTAGAKCACTTGCTTAGCATGTGCAAGGCCCTGGGTTACATCCCTAACACTGCCCAAAAATATTTTTATAGTATTTTCATTTTCCTTTGAAAATTTGTTATTTAGTATCARTGGCATAGTCAGGTTACCTTATACACTATTACACTTTATTCTTAAAAAAGTATTTGTTTACTGGGCTGGGGATGTGGCTCAGCGGTAGCGCGCTCGCCTGGCATGCGTGCGGCCCGGGTTCAATCCTCAGCACCACATACCAACAAAGATGTTGTGTCCGCCGAAAACTAAAAAATAAATATTAAAAATTCTCTCTCTCTCTCTCTCTCTCTCCCCTCTCTCACTCTCTCTTTAAAAAAAAAAAAAGTATTTGTTTACTAAATTAACTAAATTACAACTGTCTTATTTCTCTTACTGTCTTTATAATAATATAAAAAATAACTCTTTATTTCTGGTGTCTATAAAATCCTGAGTTATATATTTTTCATTGTTCAGCTCTCCATTCTACAGCTGTATTCTTTTCCATGAGAATTTGAGGAATCATTGAATAAATCTTACAAGATACGACTTTTTCCATCAGTTCAAGTAGCAGTACTTTTGCTCTTCAGTTTTCTTAACTTGTGAAGCATTGCTGAACCTGTGTTGTGGACACCTGGAACTGCCCAGATCGGAGAGGGAGTAGAGAACACCTGGGGTGTACTTGAAGACTCTGAGAAGGAAGGTGAGGACGAAGGTGGCAGTGACGAGGCTGTCCTTCCTGATGACGTGAAGATGGACACAGCAGAGGTTTCYGATATTGGAAGCCAAGGTAAGTGATGCTGCTTGGCTTTTAGGTGATCCTGCTCAGGAGTATTGTAGACCTGTCTCCAGAAGCGTGTGCCTGACCTGTGTGTAGCTGTGTAACACAGATAGTCTGTAGAGATCTGTGGAGAATATAGAGCAGCTACACATGGGGTATGTGACCCTTTCTTGGAGGGGCTAAATATTGTGATTTAAATTTCAACCAAATGGGACTAATTGCAACATTAACATCAATTCTTTTTTTAAAGAATGTTTATTTTTGTRTAGTGGTAGACTTTTTAGCATATAAAGTTATGGCAACATTTTTAATTAAAAATTTTTTTGTACACGTATCTGTGCCAGTTTAAAGGGAATGAGTTTTGTAGTTTTTAGACTCAAAAAAACTTATATTACATCATGTAGTACAACTCTGCATCTGTATAGAAGCCACCAGCCCCTTGTGGCTTACTAYTAAACATTTGAAATGGGTTTGTCTGAGGGACTGAATTTAAATTTAATTATAGCTAACATAAAATTAAATAGCCATATGTGGCTAATGGCTGCCATATTAGTGGAGAATTAAAGGACACAAAATTTCTAGAAATGCCTGAAATACTGTCCATCGTATGTGTACCTTGCATTCTAAAAGCTGAGGAAATGAAGACGTTTATTTTTGCCTATGGATCCTTTTGCTTTTATGAATACAAAATTCTGCCTGGCCTTTTTAAGATCAGGAATTGCTTTTCGTGGTAAAAGTTTTGGTAAATGGGTGAAGAGAAAACTCTCTTGGTGAGAACTTTCGCAGCTTTCCCAGGGGCTGTTTCTGTTTGGTGTTATCCAGGTAGCTATTTACCAATGGAGTAAGCTGTTTGCCCCAGGACTCGTGTTCACAAGGTTTTCTACATCGACCTATGTAGCTCCCTTTTTTTAAAAAATTGTTTTAATTAGTTACACATGACAGTACAATGATCTTGACATATCATACATTTGAATCAGACGGGGTATGATCTCGTTTTGGTCATGCAGGCGCGTATGCAGCTGCTGCTTTTTAAGTGCTGCACAAATCCAGCACCACTTCCTGTACCCAGCAGCCTAGCCATTTTCTCATTGATGCTGGCTGCCTTTCCTTACCTCCTTCCAGTGCTGTGTCCTTGCACTTATACTTCATACATTTAATAGTTGGACATTTTATTTCTGGTTTGAAGACTAATGTTTTCAATTAAATAATGAAACTGGGAGGATGGAGTTAGTATTCCCAAAGGACATGAACATAACAGGTGCGAACTAAAACTGAAGAATTAATAGGCAATCAACCAATGAGGRAAAGGGTTGACTTGTGTGTGTATAATGTGTTCATTGTTAATGCTGTGGATGAATAACATTTTTAATGGTCAGTCCTTGTAATAATGAAAGAAATATCTACAAGGGTCAATGGGAAATGTTTTATCATTTCCACTTAGAGGAATTGGAACAGTATTTCTGGATGGATTTGGTTTTAAAAAAAAAAAAAATCTTGGAACGTGCCTTTTGACCCAACAGTTCTGCTTCTGTTTATAATGGAAGACAACAGCAGCTGCTAAGGTGGACCTTGTCCCTTCATACCTAGAGCAGCACCGACAGCTTAGCTAGAGTCCTGACTGCAGGTCATTTGCAGATCAGATGTGATAGATGCTGCATAGATTCCTCCTGAATACTCCTGTGTGTTCAGCCTTTACAAATACAACTTAAGGAAATGAGAATTGTTAGAGGAGAGTTTTTCTGAGCTCTAAGGAGTGACTGACTTCAGAGAGAAAGATTTGGGAAGAACAAAGTTTATCGATCTGTAAACCCCAGAAAGCAGCTGGGGGTCTCAGTGTGGAGAGGAGTTTGGAATCAGACATAAATTCATGGAAATTTTCAGGAGATTACTTATATTGCTTTCCATGGTATTTTCTTCAAGATGCCCCTATAGTGCTCTCAGACAGTGAAGAAGAAGAAATGATCATTTTAGAACCAGACAAGAATCCAAAGAAAATAAGGTACAGATTTCCACTTTATTGCCCTCTGGTTCCGTGCTATCTTCCCCCTTTTCATTCCTGTTCATTCACTCTGSTTATAAGAAATCTGTGCCCAGTTCTGTAGACATGAGATGCCTTTCAAAATTTTTACTCACAGCTGCCACATTTCATATCCTACTAGAAAAATAAYGAAGCCCTAATTTAATGATCCAAAATTCAACAAGCATGTCATCAGTGAACTGTTACTTTATTCACAGAACACAGATCGTCAGTGCAAAACAAGAAAAAGCACCAAGTAAAAAGCCAGCAAGAAAAAGAAAAAAGAAGAGAATTGTTAACTAACAAKAAGTTGTATATTTGCATATAGTTATTAAAAGGATAATTTATTCAGTACAAACTACTCTGGGCATTTTTTTATTCATAATTCCAATATAAAGCCTGATTTTTTTTAAATGTCAGCTTTAAAATGAACCTCTAAAGTGAATTTTTTGACTGTTCATATGCACAAAAAGCTTCCCAAACCATTTTCAACCTCTTCTGTGGCCTGGGTAAAGTCTAGAAGTTGATGAGGAATAAAAAAAACATCACTTTCAGAGGCTGCTGCAGGGTGTTTACACAGAGCTGAGTCTGAGGGTCTCACTGCGGGAGCAGGCGGTTTAGTCCAGGCGTGCTTAGTTGGTGACCGTCAGCACACTAGTCCAGTTGCTGAGGAAATGAACGCCAGGATTTTTCAGGGTGTTTTCCTAAAATGACTTTAAAGAGGAAGGCTCCTCACTCCCCACTCTACAACAAACTACAAATTGTCTTTTTTAAGAGAATCTGAAACAAGTCATATTTAAACCTCCAATTAASTAAGTCAAAGATTTCCAAGTCGATTTATTATTATCCTGACAGCTGGCATCATTAATACTTTAACAAAACCACTTAAAATTAGCCAAATATCTAGGATAGATACATGTACAAAAGCTATACAAATTAAAACCATTAAAAAAAGTAATAGATACCATAATTTGTCCTTGACCATAACTTCTATGTTCATAAATGATTGTGAAATGACAACCCAAGATAAAAACTGTACACCATGTACTGAGGGATTTACATCTTAGAAAACAGGCAGTCTTGCACGTTACATGTTTAGTGTCTCTGGTGGGTTGAGGAGAGAAACTCCATGATACCTGTAAATTAAAAAGTCTTGTTAGTAAATATTCACTGGCAAGGGAGACCTGTGCTGTGTGTGCTGGGCCCTCAGAAATGTTCTTCCGGTCTGTCTGGTTAGGTTGTTTTAGAATTGCTGTTGGATCCCCCTTCCTCTCCCCTCACCCCCATCTGCAAGACAAAGCATCATTTACATCCTTCTCCAAGCTCCAAGAGATCAGGGTTTCTGTTTTGTTTTGGCGGTTCTGGGGATGGAACCCAGGACCTGGCTCATGCTAGGAAGGTGGTCCACCCTGATAGCCACAGCCTGAGAAGAGCTCCGTAAAGAAGCTGTGGCAAACCTCATGTGTCCTTTGATCAAGTAAAGTGCCACAGTCTGGAAGCACACGCTCGGCTCTTACTTCGAGTGCTTGTACTTCTCCCTTATGGACTGCTGTGCATGCTGCGGGGCTCTGAGGTAGGTCTGGTGGAGGTCCAGGAGACAGGGCTTGAGGCTTTCCAGGGTGTATCCGGTCTTCTGTACCAGCGATTCAGGCTACGGGAGGGGCAGGGGACCAGAGTGAGCCTGTGGTCAGCGCCTCTTCACCACCACCACCCACCCCCACATCTGCTTTCTCAGGCCATTCCCACGCCTTGATCCTTTCTCACTACTTTCCCCACCAGCACCATGAACTGCAGCCTCCGTGGGGCCTGAAATCCTAAGCACGCCTTTCAAATCCAAGCTCACAACCAAGCCTTTCCCCTAACATGTTCAACAGTACGCATACTGGAATAGTTTCCCAAGTCACAGCACCCGGACACCCCGGCCTGGGACCGCCTGCAGTGTCCTACTCACCCAGCTCTGGCCTGTGACAGTGTAGAGAGCCAAGTGAAAGGCRGCTCCAGCAACCACTGATGGCAGGTACTTCAGGTACGGGTCGGCATCTATCAAACTCAACTCTCCCAAGAACTGYAATGACAAACACTCGATGACCTAGAGCTCTAGAATTCAAACCTCAGACCCTTTCCTTCTGACCTAATTTTTTTGTCTTTGATCCTGCCTCTGTGACAACCCTGGAAAAAATACATAGCCGCATCTTTACACACCCACTATCATGGTGTCTCGCTCCACTTTCATCCCGCATTCCCCATTTTCCCAAGACTTTCTCTTCAAACCACTACTCCTAGTGCTTTCCCAATACACGGCTGTCCCTCCGTGTCCATGCTGATCCTCTTCCAGCACCCACCCATTCACTCRAACACACCAAACCAGTGGATGCTCGTGTCCCACATATGTGGATGGTCTAGCACTTGTATATGCTTAGACACCCTCCTGTATACTTTAAACCATCTCTAGGTCACTTGTAATTCTTCACGTAAAATTTACGTAGTTATTGTTTAGAGAGTAATGAAAAGAAAAAGTCTGTACTTRTTCAGTGTAGATGCAGTTTGATTTTCCCCTGACAACTTTCAGTCCATGACTGGTTGAATTTATGAGTGGAGAACCTAGAGATAGGGAGCGCCAACCATGTACTGTCTTTCACCTGTGGTAGGCTTTTTTCCATTCTGCAACATTAATCTGTCCCCAGAATACTAAATCTCTTGAGCAAAGCAAATTCTACATTTGTATGTAGAATTAAACTCATGCTCACTTCTAATTATTACATAGGAATCTCCAACAAAATAATAACTTACCATTGCTAAGCTTTCAACTTTACAGTTTGCAGGCTGCTGATGTAGAAAGTATTGGGTAAGAAACTGATTTACTGTTGGTGCAGCTAGGTCAAAAGCAAGGACTTTCAAAACTAGGTGCTCCATTCTCAGCACCTGCTTCTTGGTATAGGTGTCATCAGTGATGTACACAAACTCTGCTACTTCTGGGGGGTATATTTCTTCAAACTTTCTACAATGAAAAAAGTTTAAATAGTAAGTCCTTTTAAGAGAAGCAAACCTCCCAGCTCTGCAATCCCATTTGCAGAATACACAGAATGACCCCAAGTCCACTTTTTACCAACTGCACTTTCACTGATACTTGACCATTGTTTCTAGCAGAGACCTTCAACTACTACTAAATCCAAATCCAAGAGAACTTGTGACAYATTCCTCCCAGTGCAGCACAGAACTGAGTGAGAGACATGAGATTTCCCAGGATAGGACCAATGCCAGRGCTCACAAGGTAGCTAGAAACTTAGGTAAACAGACATTTGATGTTTCCATTTTTAAATTCCATCTTCATGCCTTAGTAGAAGATACTATTTGTATGCCAGAAAGCACTTTGTTATTGAAGGAACCACACTTTCAAGCTTGGTAATCTAATCAYTATGAAACGTGATATTTCATGTTCATTGGAGGTACCCTGGAATCCAGTTCTAGGAAGACTAGTGTTCTAGATTAGAACAGTTTCACCCTTCAGTCCCCTCAGCTCTCACACCACAGCCATCCCTAAAGTACTCTGACTCTGGCCTGGGTATGTAAGGATGTCACAGCTGAGATCACATTCATTTCCCGCATGGAAAGGAGAGGCTCGACAGGAAGGAACAGTGGACTTACGAGGCCAGCAGCATGGCAGCTGTGCCCACAAGCTGAAGTTTCCCTCTCAGCACTGACATGGACGAGAGGAACCTGTCGATGTAGTTCACAGCCAAGTGCAGGGTCTCATTCTGTAGTTTATATTCTTCTCCCACTTCAACCAGCCAGTCCACAAGGATAGCCCGCATACTGTTAGTGATGTCTGGCTGCTTCTTCATGTAGCCCACTCTAGGCTTACACTTGACCTGTCCAGGAAAGGTCAGTAGTGTTAAGACTGCAGTTGGACCATTCACCATCAACAGGTCTGCGTGCTGTGAACTGAAGAGAAGCACTGGAAAGACAGTGACCCCAGAGCTCAAACACCATTCTCTGCACTTCACTCAGCTGCTCTTAGTGAACCTAGTGTGCAGAGTGGGCTCAGCCCTTACCTCCATTTCCCTAAGGTATGTGTGAATATCCTCGTGGTAGTCGGGCACTTCATTAACACTCACTGGCTTTTCATCTTCTAACACAATTGATATATCCATAKTGTGTGGCGACTCTGAGAGAATTCAAAAGACAAGATGAATTGCTTCCATTTGATTTAGTAGCTAAAAATGAGTACCCCTATAAGGAGTCTAATAATACCAAGGCATTTTTATTTCATTCAACTAAAAAGGACTTTTCATGGCAAAGTACCTGGAATGTTTTACTCTAGTTTTAGTATCTGTTTACATAGATTTAGAATTGGTTCCAATTAATGAGACAAATGTYGATAAGCCACTAATAGGAGATTGAGTATTAAAGTATCATTCATCTTCCATGAGAGATAGGAGCAGATGGTATGTGATTCTATTAGGAGRGCACTTACTGTCCAAGTTTTTAATAGTATCTAAGGTTTTCCCTAAGAGAATTCAGACCCCATAGCCAGACATTTTCAGAGCACAATTAGGCATCACCTAGAATCAGTACTTTATCAGAAAGTGAAGAAACAGCACAAAACTATAAGCAGGGCTGTCTACAGCAGCTACTATTTTTGTGAGTTAGGGAAAACTACTAACTTGGTACAGGACAGTGTCACTTGCAGATGATCACTCAGATTGGTTTTACAGAAAAAAAAGTTATAACTACTTATGTCTTCAAATAGCACTCTCTGAAATGGTATCTGAAAAGTGAAGCTATAAATATAACTGGAATCCATTTTCTGAAACAATCAAATGGGATCAGATTCAAATAAGAATTCAAGGTCTACTTAATCAGTATGCAAATTAAGTTGGTAGAGTTCACAAAAGGGCATGAGGATCTGGGTGTTGTAGGTCACTAGGTCAAGTATCAGGGTGACAGTAGAGGAAGATCACATCTTCTCTAAGCCTGTTATACAAAACTTCCATACASTGTATCATAACAAATAGATAGGAGTGTCTTAAAACTTACCAAAACTACCATCCATTGGATAATCCAGAGGCACCAGAGGTTTTCTTGGTCCAGGTAAAGTAGCAGCTGTACTAAAAGCCAGGACATTCTCACACTCTGTCCTTTTTTCAGATGGCCTCTTTTGAGTCTCCTCCTCTGCTTCATCCACATGAATGGTGAATGCAGGCTGTTTACTGTTTGCTTTCCAAGGAGGAACAGCAGTGACATGCTCATCATTCACGGGAAGATCCTTTAGAGGTGCGACCTAAAGGGAAAGTAATAACAGGCYTTGAGCTTATTCAATGGAGTTTTACCTTTTTCCCCTTGTAACTAATCAGAACTACGTGGAGTTAAAATAACCAAGGCTTCAAGGATGGGGTGTCAGGCTAAAGCATAAGTTTAGGAAAAGAGGAAAAATGTACTTATTCACCACTTTCACCCCAGGGTGGAGCAACAGAGCAAATCCGGCTAAAATGGCGGAATTTACCAAAAGCAAAATGTTTTTCAGACCCCTTCCCGAAACGGAGGTACCGTCTAGAGCAGACGGGTGGGGGTGGGGGATCCGGTCCTGGCAGTGCCTGGGGTTTGAAAGTGGAGAGGAAGGCTGGAAGCTGGGCGAAGGCCAATTCACGCTGTAGGGCTGAATCTGACCCCATTATCTACAGAAAGATGCTTCCACGAGGGAGCATGCTAAGAATAATGGGAGACGCCACTCCAGCGGCATCCCACGTAACAGAAAACCCGGGACCGAGTGGACTCTGGACCCCAGCCCCCTAAAGAGCTGAGAGGTGCTCCCAAGTCCCGCCCAGACGCCCTCCGGCAGACCCCTGCACCTTTACCCGGCGCGTCTTGGGCTTCTGCGGCGCGGGACACCGCGGGTTCGCGGCTTTCAGCACAGCCAGCGCGGCCTGGGTCCGCGGCTGCGGGGCGGGCGCCTTCTCCGGGTTGATGTTCTCCTGGTCCTCCTGGAACCCCGTCTGCTGCAGCGCCGGCAGTGCCGGGCCCGTCTCGCGGGCCGCAGGCCGCGGCGCGGAGCTGCCCAACATCGCGGATCCCGGGGGCGCGAGGCGGTCAGCCCGCGCGCCAAGCAGCGTGCGCTTGCCCGCCCGCCGGGGACGCTCCAGCCCTGGCCGTCCGACGCGGCCCAGCCAGCCTGGCCGCCGCGGCTCACCGGCTTGGACCCGCGCGGGACGCAGCGGATCGCCAAGGGTGGAGCAGGAGCGGCGCGGCCCGGCGCGGAGGCGCGGACGCCCGAGATGCAGCCAGCCGGCAGCCCGCCGTGCGGCGGCTGTTCCTGCAGTTCAAGTATCCCGCGACTATTGAAATGGRCCAATGAGCGCTCCGGCCGTGACGTCAGCCAGAGCGACGGGCGCAACGAGCGCGGGGGCCTCCGGGCGCGGGACTGGGACACGCAGGCAGGGGCGGAGCTGCGCAGGCAGGGGCGGGGCTGCGCAGGGACGACGGGGTAGAGGCGGGGGCGGGGCCGCGCAGGGACGACGGGGTAGAGGCGGGGGCGGGGCAGCGCAGGGAGGACTGGCGCCGGGTGGGGCCACGCCGGGCCTGGGGCGGGGACTGGCGCCAAGCTTCCCTAGGCTCCCAGCCCCCCCGCGTCCCTAAGCTTCTAAGGACTGACGGAATTAAACTCCCGCAACCGCAGGGTGCTGCCCGTCCGCAGCCTCAGCACTCCGGTCCCCCAGGCCAGGTGATTCCGCGTCTCTGGCTCCGCCTGCCAGTTAACTGGGCGGAAGGGCGTCTGCACGTTAGGGTTGGAAAGGCAGCGCCTCCCGAGGCCGAATCTCGTGGGGCTGGTGGGCCTGAACTCGGAGCCGCTGCACACCTAGCACACGCCCCCTGGGCTACGCCTTCAGCCCCGGCTCATGCTTTTTTCGGAATGAAAATGCAATCAATCTAAGATTGCACTACTTYTGATAATATGTGACAGTTATGTATTACAAGAAATTTAAATCATCACTAATTTTTATCTTTTTCCCTAAGCTGTGGCAGCCAACACAAAGCAGACAGTGGTATCTTGGTGGCCCGGATATGATTGTATATTTCATTTAGGAATTAAGGCTGTTCGARTACACTAAAAACAGGAACTGGGGGTGTGGCTCATTTGTACAGACCATGTGCAAGGCTCTGGATTCATTAAATCCCCAATGCCATCCCCTCACCCCCACAATAAAGACAGTATGACCTTATTAGAATAAAACTCAACTACAAGTGCCTTTAACAAATTTTACATTTAATATTCAAGACTGGCACATAATATGACATATAATTAAGAATCTCTGTTTTATGGAAATTTCATGAGTCTACCGTTCTTGAAAATATAAAATAGCTTATTTTCCGGTATCTTTATGCCATTTTAAAACCTTTAAATACAGTATTCCCCCCAAATGAAAAAGAATTAATGAACCAAATAGCTTGAAAATGCTATTTTCCTTCATATATAGTGAAGTTAGTGGATTTGAGTGCAAGAAAACTGTAGAAATCGTCACTCTTCAGGTGCACACTTGGAGAGCTGGACTGGGGAGAGCACAACCAGTTATGATCCCTCCATCCTGAGCCCCACTTACTTCCCTGGTCTCCACTGACAGCAGTGAGCCAARTGAAGCACTTCACCAACTGCAGCAGGGTCACAAAATGTCCCCAAGCAACAAAGAAATCAGCGGCAAATCAATTCCAACTCCCAGGAAAAAAAAATCACTGGTAGGTTATTTCCACTGGTTGATGACACACAGGAATCAGGACACAAACCAGGTGCAGAACCAGCTTAACCATGTAACTTCATTGAGAGGTTTGCAAATATATAAAAGAATTGCGAAGATCAAACCAGGTAAGATACAAAATAAAAAAACATTTTGAAATCTGTAAAGTAGTTTACAAATCTACTTTATTTATTTCTTTAATTTGGTGGTACTGGGGTTTGAGCCCAAGGGCTTTCTACCACTGAACTACATCCCCAACCCTTTTTTAATAAAAGGTCTTGCCAGGTTGCTGAGGTTGGCCTCAAACTTTTGAACCTCCTGCCTCAGCCTCCTGAGTAGCTGGGATTAGAGTTGTGCACCACCATACCTGCTTCCACATACAAATTTCTCAATTTAAAAATTAAAACATCAACTTGCCCCAAATTCATTAATATCCCTCATAATCATTCTACTTGTGTTTTAAAAATAAGACTTTATTTTTAAACAGTTCCATTTTTCAAAAGAAACAGAAGCTTAAAGTCAATGTATCTCAAATATATTTAGTTATTACAAGCTGGCTTGTAATTTGGCTTTAACATTTTGTTTAAAAGACCACTTCTTTGGGACTTTGCCCTGTTTATCTTTCATGCAGCATCAAAGAAAGCAATCAATGCATTTTGATCATAACTGTCCAGAATCTGCAACAGGAGAGGTACTTTGGTTTTCACATTGGTGCCTTTGAACTTAAACTTATCTATGAAAAGATCGGTGATCATACCTGTAAAAAAAAAAAAAATGTTTTAATATTGATTCATTCTTTCAAGAACAACATATTTAATGAAAGTGAGCAATTGCCTGATAATCGTTTCTGAAATTCCATCATTTAACATACATAAACCTAAAAGGGTTGATGCTTTAAACATTATTTTGTGGTGATTTTATAGCAAGTGTCCAGGTATACATAGTAAGCTAATAACCTTCTTAATTGGTTTTGAGCTATTAATTCAGTTCAATCAATTGCTGACCATCTTTGAAATGCTATTGGCATAGATAACATCAGAAGTGATTATTTTTCCCACCCAGCAGATTCTATTCTTAGCAGCCTTATCTGAATTAAAATACTATACCTATAGCTGACCTCCAGGCCAAGAGTCTTGGGTTCAAAGATCTGGAAAAATTATCTCACCTTTTAATTTTTAAAGATATAAAATAGGAATAATTCATGCTACCAATCCTTTATCCAAAACCCTGATGTATTTCAGAATTTTTCACACTTAAGGAATATCCTTAATGGGCTACATGGTATTAACCCAAGGGGCCTTAGTGGCAACAACTCATAATATGATACTACTTCTGCCACATAATACATGGATGAATATTTACACTAAGAACAGTAAGATCAGAAATAACTTCATGTCCATTTAAATCAGGTTTTGTCATTAACTTATTCAGATTAAGTGAGATTTATTGTCAAACAATTTATGCAAAAAGATTTTGTTTTTAATTTCTAGATTTTGAAGTCACTGATAAGAGATGGTTGATCTGTACTAATTCCATACATTATTTTAAGGATAAAAGAGATCCTGTGCCTACCCTGTACGAAACATTAAACTATTTTATATTAAGTAGGTGTGCTGGTGCACACCTGTATTCCCAGTGATTAAGGAGGCTGAGGCAGGAGGATCCCACGTTTGAGGGCAGTCTCAGTAACTTAGTAAGACCCTGTCTCAAAAATTTGTTTTCTCATGTATACACACAYATATATACTTGTATATACACGTGTATATATAACTGTCTGTGAGAAAGTCTCTGGCACATCATCAATTCAGGCAAGGCAGGCTTCGGGATCAACATGGGCTGGAATCAGCTGGCTCTCCAGTGACTGCGGACACTCAGCACAGCATAGAAGCATGCATTTGGGGTGAAGAGGTTCCACAGTAGGCTTTGCCACTAACTGGGAATGAGACAAGAAACCCTTCAGTCTCGTTTCAGTTAAAGTAAGAAAAGCGGCTGAGTGCTGGGTAAAAGCCCACCCCACGGCGCTGCTCAGGGACCGCACCCTCCCTCCCTCCCTCCCTCCCTCCGGGCCCCTGTCCTCCACCTGCTCTTCCTACTTTCAGTAGATCTGTGAAACAACCAGCTTCTCACCACCAAAGAAAAATAAGCTTAAACCGTAAACTGACACAGATATAAATGTCCCTTACTCAATTTTGCCTAAAAATAATAAAASCTGCATTTAAAAATATTTTATAGTAGCAGTAAAACCTGGCAGTATTTGTGAGAAGAATCTATCATGCTGTGCTCCATAAGTTAGGTTCATTTTACACCATGGTCCTTCATCACAGTATAATTTCACTTAAGAATTTTTACTAGGATTTTTCAAGTAAAAATATGATTTAAAACTAGCTGACAAGATACAGAAGTGTTCTGTGCAATGGCTGCTGTCACTGGCGTAGGGCCACTATCATCTTTCGCCTGTTCCTCCCACCTGGCAAACGGCCAGTGGCAAAGAAACCCGGCCAGGTATTCTAGAAGAGGGTACTAACTCTACTGGCCAGGTATTGGCCAGGTATTCTGTAAGAGGGCACTAACTGTACCGGCCAGGTATTCTGTAAGAGGGCACTAACTGTACACGGCCAGGTATTCTGGAAGAGTTAGTGCCAGGTATTCTGTAAGAGGGCACTAACTCTACTGGCCAGGTATTCTAGAAGAGGGCACTAACCGTACCGGCCAGGTATTGGCCAGGTATTCTAGAAGAGAGCACTAACTGTACCGGCCAGGTATTCTGTAAGAGGGCACTAACTGTACACGGCCAGGTATTCTGGAAGAGTTAGGCACTAACTGTACCCAGCAAGGTATAGGCCAGGTATTCTAGAAGAGGGCACTAACCGTAGAGCCTTTCGAGGTGTGCAGGCTGCTTCTTGTATTCTTCCTGTAGGTGGTCAGCCTCCTCTAGGATACAGCGGTACTCTGGTATCAGGAAGTTTGTGTTTCCTTCATGAACTTGCAATTCCTTATTTAAAATCAAAAACAGAAGCACCTTGGTGTTCAAATTCAGCCAACAGGACACTGAAGTGTTTCTGACTCCAGAAATCCCACTTTTAAAACAGTGGCACGAGCCCACAACACACACGTACCTTCAAAGCATCGATCAGCTGCACCTTCTTGGCCAGGAGGAGCTGGTATTCCAGCTTTGGGTGGATCAGCATTAAAGTGTGTCTGACGGATACTTCATTTATCTCTGCAAGAAGTTGCCAGGCACAACCAGATAAGTCATTTTCATCAGAAACATTATCATTGTAAGACAACTACACAAAATCAGAAAGATTTTTTTTTTTTTTACCGTATGATATGTTGAGGTTAATTTTCCTTTTTGTAGCTTCTTTAGAAAGCACATCTTTTAGGATGGATATTGTAGAAATGTTGTCAGATTTAAAAACTCCTTCTCCTTTTCTATAAAATTAATACATTTTTAAAAAGACAAGCTGTAGAAGAGGGCTGGGGACGTAGCTCAGGGGTGGGGTGCTGCCTTAGTATGTGCAATCACCAGTACCACAAAAAAAGAAAGAAGAAAGCTGCACACRGGAATAGCTTCGTCAATACACATCCACACACATCCTGTGACTAGTAGTTAACTGTTTACATTCTATCTGATTTTAGGTGTCTTGACAGTGTTAATAAAAGCATACCTACACATGGAATCATGTTCTCTCTGTTGAGTCAGCTCTGAACACACTCATAAAGCTAAGCATGCTGGACATAAGCCTTTTTAAGATATAATGTATCTAAGCACTTCATTTAAAACTAMTTTTCTTCTGTGTCATCAACACTTCCAACAGCTGCCTCATATATAAAATGCACTTAGAATCGCCTACTTACATACACAGGCAACTGTTTTCTTTGATGTAATCACACAAACGACAACATGACTATATGCTTCATCCTTAAAAGAAATCTGACATCAAACCTGCAAGAGTCACTCTGCTGTTTACCCATGCCCGGCATCCACCGCCCTGCTCGCCACGGGACCCTCAGTTTCCTCTGAGAAACTCGTGCCGTCTCTTGCCCCCTCCACACAATTTCAGTGGCTCTGCCTCCATCTGCTTCTGAGGTGCCAGGAGGAAGCACCTGGCAACACGGCCCACGCCCCACCAAAGGGTTCAAGACTGAATGACGACACTCCAGCCAGGGAGTGTGGTCACTGGCACTGGTGGGAGGCAGTGGCCAAGCAGACTGAAGGATGGACAAGGGTCACATCTTGATGGCATCACCTAAGCCACGGGTCAAGCTGTGCCCAAGACAGTTACTGGAGACTTTTGCATTTGGTCCCTCACTGTGATGACCAGAGCTTCCTAATGAATACATGCCATCTTTCAATATCTCATGAGGTCTCTTCCTCTGGCCTTCGTCCACATAGATCATCCGTACAGACTACTTGTAGGCAAATGCAAGTTGTTTTTTCCAGAAAGATGAACAATACACCTTTACATTCTGATCCCAACTGTGCTATAGAAATCACAGGCACTCCCACCTGTCTCCCAGCCCAACAGGTGATGAATGTAAACCCCCGGTGCCAGGCACCGAGGAGCGACTTACGTGCTTTATCCTCTTAACTGTCATGCAGTTCTATAAGGTAAGTGCTACTATTTCCATTCCCAGAAGAGAAAACTGAAGCTCAGAGGGTTAATACAGCAGATGAATATAGGAGCTGAACCTCATTATGCCTGCCTCTAAATCTTCTACACTACCTCCAAATACAGGCATCTTATTCAGGAACTTGAAAAACATTTATTAAGCACCTACTGTATCCAAAGCCACATGTTAGGTGCTGGRAGGCTATTAACAGAGATAATTAAAAATACCCCTGAGGATATCGTGGAACTTAGACAAGCTTACACAAAAAATATACTTCAGTTAAACAACAATACATCTCAAAGACAGGTAAGAATAWAATACTGGAGCGGGGGAGACCCTGTCCAGCATGCACTAGGCCTGGGGTCCAATTCCCAGTATCACAAAGAAAAAAAATGCTATGGAAACAGAAAATAATCAAGGAAGTCCTCAGAAAAGTAGCTGTTGGACTGAGCCTCGAGGGTAGAGGGAGTCGGACTATTGAGGAACGAATGTCAAACAGAGAAGGGTAAAGAGCCAAGGCAGCCCGCTCATCAGGATCCTGCCATGTGTATGGGGTGAGCAGCGAGGCCAGGTGGCTGACTGCTCCCTGGAGGGCCACCTCCACAGGGCGGACTAGAAAGGCTGGTTCCCAGGTGAAGGGCCAGGCAGTGGCGGGGACCCGGCTCTTCAGGGCAGGGAAGAGAGAGCCCTGGCCCCCAGCCCACGAAGTGAGACCCACAAAAATGAGTGGAAGAGTGGGCGCGTGAAGACTCTGGGATCAAAGGGCAGACAGGCTGGCTTCGCCCGAGAAACAGGCACACTCAGAGGCAGGAGGGGAGGCCAGAGTCCAGCGCCCCCCCCCCCCCAGTGTAGAGCAGGGTGGGGAGAAGCCCCGGAAGGGACAGGGCATAGCTGCGGCAGAGGAGCCACCAGGGCAGCCCCCCAGCAGGCCACAGCTGGCGGCCCAAAGCCAAGGCCATTTCTGTTCCCATGGAATGAAATCCAGCTGGAATGGGATGGGAAGGACCGTTTGGCCACATCCTCCTGTGGGTGACCACAGCACACCTTCTTTCTTCATCCAAGTTCTCCGTGTGCGATCTAAAAATATCCCTGCAGGTTTCCTGTGGACATTCTGTCATCATTACTACTCCTCCTCCGAAAGAACCTTTTCAACTACTTCTAAATGATGCTTGTTCCTGTTGGAAATTTAGAAAAGGTATTGATCTGTGCATACCCATCTTTCCTAATCACTCTCCCAACCTCACTGACCCTATTTGCTGTCCAATAGAGTCACTTCAACACGCAGGTTTCTGATCCTGTGACTTGTAAATTACTCCTGCCTTAAAAAATAGAAACTGGACACGGCCTATGACCCCAGCAGGTGTGACGCACCTGTARACACTCTCCAGCTGGGTGTCCAGGAAGGTGTTCTGGAAGTGAAAGGTCACGCACTCTCCTGCTGGGGGCTTCTCCGGAACCTCAGGCAGGCAGAACACCACCCAGGAGTGGACCTCAGCGAAGCTGAACTGGCCTGTCAGCGTCAGGGTGTTCATGGGTCTGCAAGGCAAATGCACACAGGAGTGGCATGTCACAGCCTCATGGGCACAGGCCCAGCAGGGCCTCCAACAGTACCCCAACAAGTACCTTGAAAACACGGGTCTTCTTAACATCACATGTTACACAGACATACATTTGGATTTTAGGTCTATACCTGAACCTGTGCTGATGTCTTAATATTCAGTCAGGACATGCAAATAGCCCTTTTTCATTACACTAAGCTTCACCAAAAAAAAAAAAAAAAAAAAGTCTACCAGGTCAATCTCACTATTAAAAAGTTCATCTAGTGTTTCTACTATATAAACTGAAGACACTCACATCTGAATCTCCCTAGGGGAAGAATCAGCCTACTATGAAGGAAGGAACTGGGCTTTCAAGTAAGACAGGCAGGGTGGGAAAGCCGGGTCTCGCTGTGTGCCACCAGGCAAGTTAGAGAACGACGCCTTCGGCCTTAGAGGGATGTGGGAACATTTCCTATCATGCAACAGCACAAAAAAGTAACAAGGGTCTGAAAATTAATCACAAAGCTTAAAATAAGCCAAGTGGGAAACCACAAAGGGTGAGAAAACACAGAGCATATGGAAGGRAAAGTTCAGAAGGAACTTCACAGGATGCAGAGCTAAGGAAAGGAAGCCAGCCAGATCTTTAAGATCATCCAAACCAGTTCTCTGGTTTGCAGATGAAAAATCTGAAATCTAGAGAAATTCTCTTCCTGAAGCCACATGGGGACACACTGTGATCCAAGTCTCTGTCCCAGTTTGCTCTTCYTTCTAGCACACCCCGCTGCCCCCACTCGAGTTGACCTCAACTTCAAGCAGGAAGATGTCCCCAAACATCTATTTTCTTTGTTTCCCACAAGCCTTCCTTAAGAAATTTCCTTCTTATTTTATTTAAATCACTTTTTACTTTAGAAGCTGCAATAGAAATAACTTGGAATTTGGCCTCAAATCTCAGCTCTTGCTCTTCATCAGAAGCTACAGGCTTCTCCAGGCCTCCATCTCTCATCTGTAAAGCGGAGACCCGGTACTATAAGGTAAGTGACAAGACGTAAGCACACACAGACTACACGGCACTGAGAAAGCCTTCGGTGACTGTCCATCTCTTTCTCTTCTCTGTCATTCAAAATCTACTCACAGGAAGGTGCTCTCCCTGGAAATCAGAAACAATGGGCACCATGCTCTCTGCTGTCTCTACCTGTATTCCCTGAAGCCAAGAGAAGGAAATGCAATGTGTGAGGCTATGCAGCAGCGCCCTGCTCACACAGAGCCGCTAAATGGGATGTGTTTACAGTAGGTATTTGAGAGAACTGTTACCCTAGTCATCTTAGGTTGGCAGGAAAGGGGTGGACAAGAAAATTCAATTCAAACAGCTTCGAAAATAAGAGCAAAAATCTTATATTTATTAGGAATATTAAACCCATGCCTAACTATTAAACCACAAGTTAATTTTTAAATGGAGAAAAAGCTACCAGAATATACACTACAGGAATAMAACAGGGCTGGGTTGGGGCTTWGTGGTAGAGTGCTCGTGTATCATGTGTGAGCCCTGGGTTCGGTCCTCGGCACTACATAAAAATAAAGAAAATAAAGGTATTCTGTCCATCTGCAACTTAAAAATAGATTATGAAAAAAGAAAGAAAAAGCAAGTTGATCTGAACAGCGTAAGTAACTGAAAAGCCCGCTGCCCCTCCTCTGCCCACCTGCTGTGGTCAATGCAGTGCGTCCTCTGATGGAGAGAGAGGGGCTTGATGTGGTACTGGCGCACCTGGCAGGTTTTGGGCTGGATTCTTGGAGTCACATAGGCTTGAAGTGTGCCATACTGGCCTTCGATGGAGCGGATCTGAGGTCCCGCAAGAGAGGAAAGAAAAAGCCACCATGAGCAGCACGACAGCCTCTGTTACGTTCACCAAGTTATCAGGTTGCCTAACTCCTCTGCACTAGTCTGACATTTTACTAGGCCACGACTTTCTTCCCCACGACAGGGCAGTAGAATAAAACCAACCCTGGCAGTCGGGGCAAAGTCGACCTGTGGGTTTGCCCACCACACACTCCAGCTGGCCTGTCCACTCTTCCCAGCCCTTCACCACTCCAGGACAAGACCCACACTCCGACGTACAATTCTGTCGTATCTAAAAAGAGGTGTGAGCATGTTCTACAAGGTTCATAAGAAAAGTACTTAAAATCTAGACATTTTTGTTGAACAGATCAATGAGTTTTCAAAATAACTATAACTCATGGGACACAACACTTTCTCAGGAATGGGGATTATACCATACTGTTGCTGTTACAAAATCTTACTGACAGAAAGAAATCTTCCCAAAAGCCTAATTCTTGATTGTCTCTAAAAGCAGAGAAATACATATTAAACTAGCACTTGAATGAAATTCTCTCAGGCCATCGTGAACATGTTTCCCAGATGCCCCAAGAACTCAGAACTCCTAACATAAAATGACTCCCTAAGCTGTAAGGCCTGCCTGAAGAGGGGTGCCGAGGCTGACGGCTCCTGGCTCCTACCCCAGCTTCCCGTTCCAACTCAGGGCAGACCGCAGGTCTGCTGGTCCTGCAAGGTAACTTCTCTAATCTAACAACTGACGTTTATCTCATGCTTTTTGTAGCATGTGAAAAAAAATAAACAAATGTTTTGCCTAAGTGAGAAAGATAAATGAAGTCTAAAGTAAGATGTTTTTTGCAAATGGGCACAGATAAAAGATAAAAAGGATAAGAAAGACAATGAGTAAAAATTCAGAAAGAAAATAGGCCTTATAAATCCAATTTGGGGTTTACTTTTAAAGGGTAAGTTTCCAGCARCAGCACAACTTTCTCCTTAATAAAACGAACTTTAATAATAAATATAACAATTTTATATGAAAATTGTATTTTTAATAATGACTGTAACAAACAATTCTCCCCACCCTTCCTTCCCCTGCAGTGCGCTCCCCCTCTCCCAGCCCACTCACACCTGTCCCACCTTGCCTAATGAGGGCCCTCCAGGGGTGTCTCTTTTCGGATCTTCTTCTCCCGTAGCATTATAGTTAAGATACACCCAAACACAAAGGGACTAACTGCTTCTTGCTCTTCCCTGGACCACGCTCCAAGCAGACAGCTGAGGCAGGAATTCCAGCCACCACGCAACCCACCATCAACAACGAGTACTCCCCTCAGTTCCACCTCRCTCCTCTCTAAGCCAGGCTGCAGCTAACCACACAGTCATCTGGGTGCTGGGACTTTACTGCTATTAAAAGATCCTCCCGAGGAGCCCTATCACTTGTTTTCAAAAATGGCTATGAAAATGTATATGTCCACCAACCATGACTAATCATGACCTTTTACTCATCCCTGTCACCTAGAGATGATGTTTTTGATATTTTAATACTTTTTTACCTGTTAGAGGAGCAGAAGCCACATTTTTACTATGTTGGTTTAATTTCCCAATAACGCGGCAGAACTCTTTTGCTTCTCTCTTTTGAGAACTGCCCATCTTYACTCCTTGCCTATTTTCTTTATTCAGTGATCTTCTCTATAGTAACACAGATTGCTTTTATTTTCATTAATGATTAYCTGGTGTCTGGAAGACAGTTTTCTTCTTTAAGTACTTAACTCATCTGAATTTGTCACACAGGGCAAAAGGTACAAATTCACCAGGAGCTGGGGGTGTAGCTCAGTGGTGGAGCATTTGCCCAGCTTGGACAAGGCCCTGAGTTCAATCCCCRGCATCACAAAGAAAAAGAAAAATAACCCCCAAATCCACATACTTTTCTTTCAGATGAATGCCAGTTAAGCCAATACCAATTTTTAAATAGAAATAGCAATCTGATTTTTCCCTAAATAGAGATGTCACACAATAAGTTCCCGCAAACGTGTGCGGGCTCTCTTTCTAGACCCTTGTCTGCTACAGAGCCTGTTTGTCTACACTGGGAGGCGCTCTGCTCTGCCCACCATCCCCACCCCACCCTGGCCAGCGCCCTACAGGCAGTGCTCTCCCCAGTGCCCAGGGGTCTGAAAGGAGCAGGACACAGCCCCTTGGCAYTCCCGTAGCTGGGGGACGGGCAGGCTCCTTGCGGCCCAGCTGCCTGGTCAACGTTCACGTTTCCTCTCTTGCTGAGGCATAATCCACCTACTTTTCTTCTTTCTCATAATTTTCTTGGCTCTTTTCAGGCATTTACTTTTCCCTCTGAACTTTAAAATTATTGTGTCCAATTGTATAAAAGAATATAGTTTTAAAAAATTTTTTCAGATTGGCTTTCAAATTTACTGGTGCAGCCTTGCTTAGTGACATACAATAATAGGGGCATAATATGATCACTTATACAATATGCTTGAGTAAAGTCTTCTAGAAATAAGTTTATCCTAGTTTTCAGTTTTTCTTTTTTTTTTTTACATTTATTTTTTAGTTGTATGTGGACATAATACCTTTATTTTATTTTTATGTGGTGCTGAGGATCAAACCCAGTGCCTCACACATGCTAGGTGAGCTCTGTCCCTCTGAGCCACAGCCAATTATGTATAAAAGGATACTTACAAAGATTAAAAAGAATTGTTCAGGGAAAAAATTACATTTAACTCAAATTTTCTTAAGCAATGTGAAAAAAGTATGGGTACAACAGCATCTCTCTTGAAAAAGCATATTTCAAGTTTCAAAATATCAGCAACACCAGGGGGAAAAATAACAGTCCTTCAATTTTAGATCATAGGTGTATCAAAACTAAAAAATTTTGAAACCTCCCAACACAAAAGAACTAATATAAGTTTGTCTGCTATGCTCAATATTTAATCACAAAGATGGCTGTTACTAAGTTGCTAAGGAAAACCTGTACAAGTGTTTTCTAAAATAGATGATACTAAGATGAAATCGCTGGAATGCAACGGGTAAAACTTAGACAAMAAGAAAATATCAGGGAAATGCTCATGAATCAGATTCATTTAGACTACGACTGGATCACAAAAATCAGTGGAATCTGAACACTAAGTGATAATATTAAGAAACTTATTTAAAAATGGCTGACAGCATTTTTGTTGTTAAAAAAGTATTCATCTTTTAGACATATATACAAAGTATTCACGGGGAAATTGCCAGTGTCCTGCATTTGCTTCCAAGTGACCTGTGGTGGCCAGTGACAGGACTGTCACGAAGCTGGTGACAAAGATGTGGGATCCTTACTTTTACATACTCTGAGACTTTCCACAAGGGAAATCAGAAAAAAAATCCCAGTTACCGGGAACTTTACGATCAATAACTTTACAACTGGTAACTGCAGGGTGCTGAAGCAGGGAGAAGTTCAACCCACAGGAATGACCTCAGGCGCGGAYGTGCCAAGGGGAAGGTGACCTCAGGCGCGGATGTGCCAAGGGGAAGGCCGCTCAAACCCGAGTAAAGGCAACGTTGGACACTTTTACCTTCAGTTCCAGCCGTGTGGTATTTGCTTGGCAACGGTAAGTGGCGAGAAGAAAGTTGTCATTTGACTGGAAAGAATTCAAAGTTGGGGAAAATGATGAATTCAGGTTTTTGTTTTTAATAAATATTTGTAGTTTATAGTTGACACACCACCTTTATTTATTTATTTATATGTGGTGCTGAGGATCGAACCCAGGGCCTCAATCGTGCTAGGCAAGTGCTCTACTGCTGAGCCACAACCCCAGCCCCATGAATTCAGCTTTTTAACCACAGAAACATCATCAATAAAAATGTTTACCATCATAAAGAAACAGGCACTGAGGGGTTAGGGAAATTTTCCAAAACTAATCAGGGATGAAATGAATTCAAATTTTTCTAAGACCCTAAGGCTCATGCTCCTACTTTGAGCCTACAATGAAACCTGTAAACATCAAGAGTTCATTCTAAAAATCCAACAATGCAAATGTCAAACATTTACTTTAAAAAGCCATGTGGACCAATGCCTTTGATTTTCACAAATACTTGCAGAGAAAAGAGAAAAATATTGTCTCTGTGATTCCAGCAAACAACGCAGTACCTGACGTACATGTTTGCTGAATTAAACTGGAATGGTTTCTTCAAATATTGTAATTACTTGAAATTAAACAATTAAAAATAGAAAAAGATACCTAGGTGCATAAATTGCAACAACAAAACAATATGAAATATTTTATATATAATTTTCATTTACTGCTATTTTCCTATTTTTAACAAATAACCAAAAAAATTAAAAGGATGTTAATATAAAAAAGAAAACTCTTTTTTCATTTTAAATCATTTCAACTCAGTGAACAGAAAGGACAGATCTATTTAAAAATAAATACACCAAATATTAAAAACAAATGTCATTATGTGCTGAAGTAGTTATGGATAAAATAATACAGATTAAAGAGATAAACTGTCTGGGACTAGGTTCAGGAGGGGGTGGGGTGGGGCACATGCTTAGATAGGTAATGAGTGTGGAGAGGAATGTTAGCTTCTCCTATTTTTATGTTTCAAGTCTCCAAATAAATTTTCTAAGAAGCTATAACCTTCTTATGGAACATGAAGAAAGGTTTTAAAATATTTCCTTCAAATAGCTATGAGATTTTTTCTTCGCCCATTCTTTGATTCCTCCCTTTCAAAACATACCCACTGCTACCCTAGTGCTGCTCCGGCTGGCCTTCCCCACAGCCCCTCCGGGCCTCTTCCCCTGGCCTCCCTCAGGACACGGCTGGTGGAGACTGCTCAGGCCAGCACCAGGCAGCAGAAAGTGGTATCTGCAGGTCAAAGCTCTGTGACCTTTCACGGGCTCTCTGTGCGACATGTGTTCATTGAATGACTGCTGGATGAAAAAGCGGGGCGGCCAGGAAGCTCAGGGAGAGGAAGACCGTGCCCCAGCGCAGGATGTGTGCACTCACAGCAATTAAGACATCTTAAGAACTTCAATTCAACAGAAATTATGTGCATGGGGGTGGTGGTGGCTGATGGGATGAGCTGGARGCATAAGAGTTTCCTGTACCACACTGAGGAAGGGGGAATCTAGATCCACATCCACCAAGAAACAAGATCCTTAAAAGGTTTTGGGAAAGGGAAGGTGCAGTGAGGTTGATGCTGGAGGAAGGCTCCCGGTGGCAGCCACAGTGTCTACAGTGGGAGGCAGAGAAGAGGAGCAGGAGGCCAAGAGCTGCAGTGCCAGGGATGGGACTGACGGCCAGCAGCTGGGGACCCCTGGCCTCTGGAGCCTGGAGCTGGGGACGCGTATCTGTGGAGTGTTAGGAGCCTGCCCAGCAGCTGCAGAGGAGGCGACAGCTACCACCTGGCCTTGGACCTGGTCAGAGGCAGGGGGCATCAGAARGTGCAGAAGGGCTAGCAGGTCACTCACCTCGGAGTCGCAGCTGCTGAAGCTGACAACTGCAGAGTTCTTATCCACATCAAGCAGATCTATGGGGACATCGCTCTGTGGTGAACATGTAAAAGAATGGCTCAGAGGGAAAACATACAAACAGTACACAGAACATCTTTTCCCTGAGGGTCGCCTGTGTCCTAGATGATGTTCATCTCTAAATGTGAAAGTATAAATTCTCTTAATTTACACTTGATCACATACAGCTCTGGAAAATATTTAATGAAGAATAAATGTTATTTCACAATCACCTGTGTTTTTCTGATTTGGATTATCAGAATCACAAAATATCAACTCTTACCATCCCCTCAAATGCATGATCTTCTATTTTCGTCAGTGCTAAAAATGTTACCATGGCTATAAGTAACCACAGGGGCATCTGATTACACTGGCTCGTTTTTATCCATTGTAGCTTCACCTGTTACACAAGAAGAAGGTAAGCTATGGTCTCCCTGAAGCAGGTGCTAAGAGAAGGGCTGGGGTCATATGACGGTGCTCCTGAGGCTGAGTGCAGCAACTGAGAGCAGCCTGGCTGAGGAGTTTTCTGTCTGTGAGATTTATTAAGAATCCGACCCCTTCCCACATCTTCTTAAACCTTGTCTTCTTGCTCCAATTTATTATTTTCTCATCTTTTTATGGGTTTTCCATCTTATTCTTATTTTCCATTCATCCTACTAGTATATTTTTCTACTTCCTGAGTATCTTCCAACTTAAAAGTAAATAAAACTATTAAACAAATGAACAGAGCTATTATCCCTAAATCTCACCTTTGAGATTATCTGTCTTGCCTACTGACCTACCTAGAAACCACTGAGCTAATGAGTAAGCTGTACTATAAATTATCATTTTAGTACTTGGAGATTTTTAAAAGGGTATAACAAGAGCATTAAATACTAGAGTTTTCTAAGTCACATCTCTGTTGAGATTCTCCCAGAGTATAGTAAAAGAAAAAAATCCTTATTATTCTATCACTTCTTGAAACTGAAGTTCACCCATCTTTTGTTTATTAAGTTTAGGATAACTCAAAAGTAAAGATAACATTCAAATAACCTACGAGCAAACTGATTACCTCATGGAAAATTAAGAAGCCATAAACATTTAAAATTACCATTTGAAACTAAATGTGCTCAATAATAATAAGTGCATACGACTGGAGTACAAAACAGATCCAGTCATAAAACCAAGAACCCAGCCATGCTGCGGACCTGTATTAAGACGTTGTCTATTGCGGTCTGCACCTCTAGGATGAGGCTGTAGCTGGCATCATCTTTATTTAATGTGAACTTGTCATTTATGCTAAATGGAGGTGCTGCTGATTTTGCTTTGCTTGACTGAGAAGACTGCTGATAGTTCTCTCTTTCCTGTAGCACCTTATACTGCAGATGTTCCAGCTCATTCCTAGAAGAAAAGACATACAACTTTGTCATCTTTAAACATCTGAAGTCCTTAGAAATGCATGAAATTTTCGAGACATTTACTTCTGTAAAATGGGGTTTTCATTGGTTGGGCTAGAACTATACCATCGGTAGGAATAAAATTTTAGTTTCTCTGACTGACCAATTGATTCCACATCATTTATTCCTAACCCCCAAATTRAAGCATCTACTCAGTTCCATACCAGAAACATGAATAAAGAGTTGTGAGTACCCAGGCAGGTTACAACCAGTCAACTCCAGCTCAGGAGTATGGCTACAGCTACATCTAGGACTAGGCAGAAGAAAAAAGAATATGGCAGGAAAATGTTCTGGACTTAATAACAAGAAACRCCAGCCAACATGCACCTCCGGTGTGATTAGGGCAGGAAGACAAAATACAGAGCAGCTGCTGAGTATTCACCTTTTGGTGACCACAGGGATGATCCTGGGCTAGTGGCCCAGCATCAGCTCTACCAAACGGTAGAGCAGGTCCCGCTGAGACTGACGGGCACARGCACTGCCTAGGGAAAGGCCACATGCAGATGGAGTCAACAGTGATGGGCAGATCAACCTGGTTTAGGGRGAAAGGATCTTGGAGAAGTGTGGAAGGGATGTGTGCGGTGAACGGAGGAAAAGATGCATTCACCCAGGAAGTATTTACTCTGCATATCACATATTTACCTCTCTGTACCTAGTAGTGCTCCAGGTGCTGAATGAACCAAATATAAGCCTGGCGCCTGGAGCTTACATCCCAGAGGAGTCAGGAAGGCAAGATTCGGCTATAAATAAAAGTACTGTGCTGAGGATGCAAGGCAGCCACTGAACCTAGCACTCCCGCTGCATGAACTTGGCATTCTGCATGAACGTGGCAGGTCAGTCTGCGTGAACATACGAGGCGGCTCTCCTGGTGGCCCTGGGGACTGGCCTGTGCTCTTGGAATTTGGGGCCTTCCTGCCTTASAGGCTCCTGTAGCCTCTGATCTTCACCAAAATACAGATCAGGCCTCCCTCCCCTGGAGGTGGCTGAAACTCAATGACTGGCCACTTCCCACTTCCTCACTGTGGGAAGCAGCCTCCTGGAGTCTGCGGTTTCTTCTTACAGAAGTGTTGAACTGAGCAGGCCATGAGAGCAAACCCTGTACCTACAGGAGGCGGCATTCAGTTCCAGTAAGAAAACTCATGAGCCAAAGTTATGTGCACAGCAACAGTGAAYGTTGGAGTTAAAGAGAAATGGAGAAAACAACATGCCTATTTAGGTTTCTTTCTGATGTCTGTTTGGCGGTGGGGTAGGCAAAACACTGCAGCCACCATTTCTGACAGATGGAAACACACAGTTCTCTGTCCAAGAGTCAGTATGGGATCATGCATTGAAAAGGTGGAACTCTGAATAGGAGATATTCATCAACACTCCCTGCTAATTGTCTCAAACCAATGAACTTTCACATTAAAAGGTGACAATGCCTTCCAATAAAATGCAGTGCATCTATCTGTAAATGGTAAGCAGCMATCAGCACTTTGAAATGAAACACACAACTCAAAAGTTACCGTAAAGAAGAAATTTTACTCTGCATCTCCTGATTGATCTTGAGCTCTTCTCCTGGTCCACTTTCCTTATGAACAGGCTCAGTTGTTAGACCTGTGACCCAGCCTGTAGAGGTGAGAACAGTCACGCACCAGTCAGTGCTGCTAGGTGCTGACAGCGTGAGCCCCTAGTCCACCACCATCAACCTAACTCAGCTGTGTTCTTCCAGAATACAGCAAAACACAAAACCAAGCTGGAAAGAATTCAGACCAAAAAAAAGTATTTAAGCAATTTGTACTGTTTTTGCTTGAAATACTATAATACTATGCTTAAAGGTTTCTTTCTATTCTTAATAGTTCTAGTTTTCAAGTATGGARTAAGTCAGAACATCTTAGCAAATTCAAAAAAGTGACAAGTAAGCATCACCTTTTGAAAATCACTTTTAAGGAGATTTAAACTCTCATGAAATTGGTAAGAATGCAAAACTCAATGCTCAAAAGCAAACAAGTTTTTACAAGACAAGCACACAGTCCAAAGCCAACTAGATTTCTAAATAGCTCCCTTCTAATAAAGAATGCCACTTACTTTTCAAAGCTAGTAGAAACATGCTAAGTGCTCTTAAAAAGGGTTAGTCAAACGTCAACACTTCATCAATCCAATGGACAAGGCCGCTCCTCCTCCTCTGCTTACTTACTGGGGATGGAGCCCAGACCCTGGCTCAGGCCGGYGAGTGCTTCCCCAGTACTGCCTCCTCAGCCCACCTCCTCATTCTTTAACCAATAACCCTAATAATTCTATAGGAAGGATTTACTAATAATACTTCTCAAAAAAGTAGCCATCAAAAGAACATGCATTTAGACCTTGGTCCCTGGTTCTTCACCGTTCTTTACCTGAGTAGGTGGACACCACGATTTCATCATAACCGTCTTTCCCTACACAACCACCTTGGATGGACGTGACACTCTCAGACAATGCCTAAAATAAATTCAAGACCAAGCATTTTATTAATAAGCTGAAAACTTCAAAGGTAGTCAAAGCAAGCTGCCAAAATTCATTATCCTGTCTCCAGACATTCAACACATATTTACCRAGTGTCTAKTTATTATGTGTAGATGCTGAGATTAGAAACACAAAACCTTAAACAAATCTCAGAAAATTCCAACAGATTTAAATTTGGAAAAGAAGATTAAAATGACTCTAGTCCCTTTAAAAGGCRATTCACACTTGGCTAACACTATAAATATCTAATGAGAAAAAAATAATTTATTTACATAATGAAAGGATATTTTWAAAAATAAATTACAAAAGTAAAACTACTTTAGATCACCTCTTCTTTGTTTTCTCTAAAAGGAGAGTTTTTAGATGAACAAAACTATGTATCCTCCTGTACATCTTTAAGTTAGCATATAGATTTTTCATCACAATTTTACATAGTTACAAAGACGGTACTTCTGGAAGTTTGTAAATAATATCTTTTAAGCAATACTTCCCAAACTTGTCAACAATAATCACCAGGTGAGTCAACCAGCACTGTAAGTCAGTACTGGTTAAAGCTATTTGGAAAGCAGCAATAATTTTTTAACTGTTATATATTCACATGTGAATACACACAACACATGTAACTTAAAAGTCTTGCAGTTATACTCTGATTTTTTWAAAAATGCATTGCCACTGATATTACATTTTGCTAGAATAAGACTGGCTTAACATCAAGCATATTCCCATTTTTTTTTTTTTTTCCATTTTCACAGTAAGCTCTGAAGCCAGGACCTCTCCTGTTAGAAAACAGGAGGGACAGTGGGCGAGGCCTTAGTGCCAGACCTGGCAGAGCAGATAAATGCTGCTAATATATTTAATTTATTAATATATTTAATTTCCTATTAATATATTTAATTTCCTATTTTTAAATAGCATTTCAAGTAAATCTAAAATACTTAAAACACAAATGGAAAAATATGATTCTGTTCATGCCAGAATGCTTTTCTATGTGATTCTATACCTCAGCAGCATATACAGACTTAATTACATTTAAATTTTGTAAACAAGTTACTTTTATCTAGTATTTCTTTCACAGCTGGCTCTTGAGTATCTACAAGCGAAAGTGCTACTTGTTCCTCTCTGCTTAAGGATATTTCTGATACTGCCCTAATGGTGTACAGTTTATTCCTGGATTTTAAAACRATATTCTCATTCATGAAACTCAAACATAGAAAGGCAACTGCTATATAATGTGTTGCTATGCATTATAGAAACTCAGGTGAACTATTTACTACTTGAGAAATTTATAAAGGTTTAAAAGTATAAAGAAATAGTAATTCAATATTCAGTTTAGAAGCAAACAGTCTATTATTCAAATGAGCAAACGAGTAGTCTAGAAATTTTGATAACATCAAAATGTTTCAGACCAAACATAAGATTTTTAAAATATTTTTAGTTGTAATGAACATAATACCTTTAATTTATTTTTTTTTTAATGTGGTGCTGAGGATTGAACCCAGGGCCTCATATGTGTGAGGCAAATGCTCTATCACTGAGCCACAATCCCAGCCCCAAACATAAGATTTTAATATTATTTTCCTTAATAAAATTCAGCCCTTAGTCATCTCTATAAAACCCGACAAGGAATAAACACATAGATGGAGAATCCTCTGGACCAACCTACCAGGTCAAATCGCAGAACAGGCTCCTCTGTGTTATCCAGGCTGTACACTTCCACCATTCCATCATCTCTCCCAACAAGTAAATCTTTAACCCCATCACCCATAATATCGAAGCTGTCAATACACAAAATACCTTTAAAAAAATGTGATGTTATTACAAAACTAATAGTTGAGTCACGTATATACCAAATAAGAGTGAGAAACTGGCTCAGCAAGCGCTCTGCCACTGAGCTACAGCCCCAGCTCTGATTTTCTGGTTTTCATACTTGTATTGCACTTGCGATAGATTTTAACATTAAGCTGGGTGAAAGGTATACAGGAACTATTTGTGTATTTGTGTTTGCTATTTTTGCACATTTCTGCAAATCTAAAATTACTTCAAAATAAAAAGTTTTAAAAGAAAGTAAACAAAAAAAAGAAAGAAAAAAAATCAATGTTCATATTTTTCACTCATGTCTCTTGCACATCCCTRGCGACATGTTATAGACTCCTAGGCTTCTGTGGAACCTACGTTAAGAAACTCAGATATGTGATGAAAAACATAGCAAGATGAGAGGAATTGATCATGCTGGGGCTTAGTAGGAGTTGCTGTTACCATCTAGATAAAAAATAAATTATGAAGAAAAAGGWAGCAAATAAAGAATAGCAAGCACATTTTGCTTCYCTTTAGAAAAATGGCATTACATTTARAGGCACAAATACATCTGGCTTTGCAATTGAAGATTGTATTGAACTCATTGTTTAAAGGGTACATTCACGTATACACATGCTTACAACMTTTCTTCCTGAAATTCCACTAACATGTCAATAAAAGCATGAAGACTGTCAAAAAGAGTGGAAGGGGATACAACAACTGATGAAAACTGACAGTGAAACTTCCCAAGATGGAACTCTGTGGTTGATTAGTAGAGTACAGGAAGCTGAAACTGGTGGCGTGCAAAGGGGGAAGCCACAAAGAGTGACTAACTCCAAGAAATGGAGGCATCCATACAGCTCAAGGAGGGTGAAGATGGGGCCGAAAGGAGCCATTAAAAATATGTATGAAGAGTTGTGTTTTATGTGGCTGCTGATAAATGAACAACCACCCCAAAATGCAAAAAAAAAAAAAAAAAGAGAAACTGTAAACTCACTCAAAATGGGGGAGGACAGACCAGCGCTGAGCACAATCAGAAGCTTGCTCCTCTCCACCCACAAGCCTCATCCAGGGCTTTACCTTACAGCCGACCTGGCAAGGGCCCCAAGTTCACATCTCCTTTCCCCATGCCCAGACCCACACGTCCAGTTCAGCCTCTTCCTGTACACTGCCTGACACTTCCCATGCTCCAAACACAGCTCTTTATTCTCCTCCTTCCCACAGCTTCCTGGGTACCCTCCTGCTCCCTCCCCAGTCCTCCTCCACCCAGCACTCAGGCTGAGAATCTAGGCTATCTCTTGGATTCCTTTCTTCTTCTAACTCCCCATGTTGAATCTACCAGCAAATCCTATCTGCTCTGCCCCACAATATATGCTGACACTGTCTTCCTCTCACTTCAGCTACAGTCAGCCTGGACTAGGCTACAAGGATAACTGGTCTCCATGTTTCCACTGTAACCTGCCTCCCCAATCCATTCTCAATGCAGTGTAGTCTCTTCTGGGGACTCAATCACATCCCGCCCCCAACTGCAGTTCTCCAGGGACTCCCCACTGTGACCTCCAGGCAAGGCTCCACTGACAGCAGCCCTACCCTACCTCCCCCAGGTCATCAAACCCTGTGAGTGGACGCAGCCACACTGGTCATCCTGCTACTCCACAGGTGAACTGAGTCCACCTCTCCTCCTGCAAAACTCTCTCCCCTCCAAATCTCCACACCCTCCTTTTTCCTCTTCAGAGTTCAGCTCAAATTCAACCTCTTCTAAGACACTTTCTTGGACCACGCAGTCTAAAAGCAGCTCCCCTTCTCTCAATACTCTAACATACTGCTCTGTTGTGTCTTCTTCATGTGACAAGGCCAGGCCTTGTCTCTCCTGACAAGTACTTGTGAAGGGGATAAGTGTGTGAGGATCCTGTATGTGTAAGAAACCATCCCTACCTCCCAAGTCAGGCACGGAGTCCCCTGAGACAGCACAGCATTCCCTTGCATTGTACCAGTCACTCTCAGGTCCCATTAACTGCCTATCGTGGACAGTTAACAAAGAATTTTACCACAGCATATTTTCCCGAAGTATTACTAGCATTTCTTATTTTWAAAAATATTATACCTACAGTGAGAGACCTGATGAATAAACAGTACGTAAACCAGAGGTGGCTCTCCTATTACATAGGGCTACTATATAATACGAATAAGTAAAACAGTAAATTGCATGACCGTTTTAATTTAACAGTTACGGGTATTTTGGGATCTGAGCTACGTTGATACCATACCTCCCCGCTTTCTCTCATTTCCAACTTCCCACTTGTGCACTGGCTTGGATGTGGTGATCTGAATGAGCCCGAGCTTCCCATCTGCCGTTCCAAACAAGAGGTCTTCCCCAGAGTTGCCTAGTTATAATTAGAGGAAACATTAGTGACATTTCTTTAAAATTAAAGTATWTTCATGTAAAAACCTCATTTAAATATCCTAAGGCAGGAAATGATTTGGGAGAATGGTTATATATTCACAGGATTYTGTAGCTCGAGAGAGAAGTCTACCTCCTAATCCCCGTCATCTAATGTTAAGATGAAACTGAAAATTAAAGTTCAATGACTCCTTACTGTGAGTTACTGGCAAGTTATCAGAAGCTAAATGTCTCAATTTTAGTTCATCTTCCTTCTACAATTCCCATTTTCACTTAATATATTTTATAAACACAGTTAATTGTGAAAAGTGAACCCTGATTACCTCCATTTCCATTGTGCAGTGCTAAGACAGCAGGTGGGCCAGGAACTTCAATTTCATACATCACATCAGAACCCTGAGAAGAATTTATATTTAGAAACTGAAACTGAATACAAATTTAAAATAATAGAGAATTGGGCCTGGTTCCACCTGCCTATAATCATAGCTACTCAGGAGACTGAGACAGAAGGATCCCAAGTTCAAGGACAGCCTGGGAAATTTAATAAGACCCTGTCTCAAAAATATTTTTTTGGATTAACTGTACCAACTACTATCAAATACCGATCCAACGAACCTTCCAGTTACCTAGTAAACTCCAAGGGTTTCCAGGAGACCACCTCCAGGAGACACAGAGGTCACTAACAGCAATGACCTGAACAGCTGTGTCAGCCATCAAGCACCTCCCTGGAAATGTGAGGACACCAAAGTGATTTTCCCTCTCTCTTACCTACTTATCCAACAAACTTGCTTCATTCTACCTACTGTCAAAATGTTGGATAAACTCAAATTAAATATCACCCTCTCCCTAACCTAATGTCTTCCTTTAGTTTGATTTCTGGGGGAAGAGGAGAGTGATGGAGAAAGGAAGGRGAAATGCTGCTGGAGGTTCTCTGTAGCAAGAGCCCTCTGCTACGACTGGGCCAGGTCAGAAACTGGGGCAGGGGGAGAAGGTGTCCTTTTTTCTTCCACATATGCCCTCTTGCAAAAGGTCTCAACACACTTGCCCCAACTAAACAAATTAACTTAYCAATTAAATTTGAAAAGTATTTTTCATATACAACTTTATACAGGACAAAAGTAGTAATTGTTAAAATAATTTATAACAATACTCATAATTATTCATTTACTTAGATTATGRAAAGTCACAAAAATGCAAACAGCCACCTGTAAAACCCTGAGCACTCTGTCCTGGCAGGCCAAGATGGGTGTAATCTGAGGTACTCTTTCCACTGGAAGGCAGATGACATCATTGATTTTGTCTGCAGAAAGGTAATAATGTTGGTCTTTGCAGTCACAATAATGATTATAGATGTAACTTGCGCTGAGAAAGAGGTCAGAGCCAGATATGTGCCTGAGAACATTAAAATAGTAATTTCAGATCTCCATAATTTAAAAAATAAGCACAGGTAATTCTTGAATTTTTCTCAGAAATGAAAACAAAAATTACCACAGATTTAGAGAACACAACCTTTTTTTCATTTCCCCACTTGATTTCTGGCCTTTTTGATATTACCTTTTTATTTTGTAAGATAAAAATGAAGATCTTAAAGCTTAAGGTTTTGCAATACAAACTAAGCTCAGAAAAACTGAAAACAAAAATGATAATTTCTATGTGAAGAAATACCAGAAAAGTGTTTTTAAATGTGTAGGACATTCCCTGTCAAGCACTGTCCTGGGGGTTTCCATGTAAATCGACCCTCATGGTCTGTAAATTGGGATTACTGACTACCATGGCTGGGGGGGGTGGGGGCTGGGGKGGGGGTGGGGGGGGTGGGGACAGCCTGCTGACTCACAACCAGTGACAGTGGGTGGAGTGGGCTGCAAAGCAGGCAGGCACTTTGACCTCTAGAATTAAGCTTTCTTACTACCACACTAGACAGCCCAGAAAAGCCTACTCAAAGTGAATCTATTGTAAACTACATGATAAGCAGTGGAGAATGTCTCCATTAGAACTTTATTTGGAATAAAGAAATGAGAAACAAGTTCATTTCAAATTATTTTAACAAAATTTTGGTAATAATCATAATGATGTTCTAATTCTTAGAATAMATACAGTTTTCTCTTGGTGGAGCTGAAATTTCTTGATAAAAATTTATATTTTTCATATATGCTATTGGAATGCAGGTTAAGCAATCTGAAAATCCTAAACCCTAAACTTTATATTAACATAATTCTCCAAGAGTTTCAGACCTTGGAGCATTTCAAATTTATAGGTAAGGGATGCTCAACTGATAGTCTTTGCAAATATCTGAAAAATCTGAAAAGYTTTGGAATCTGGTCCCAAGTATTTGAGAAAAGGGACACTAAACATGTATATCTTTCACTTCTAGATTATCACCACGTGACTATCCAGAAGATAATTTTATTTCGGCCTTTCATCTATTTCTCCACCCCTATGGTCCCTTTAAAAGTTTTCAATACTAAAATCGCCCTGTGATCTGCTTACCCTGTACTGCCCCTCACTTCATTATGACATGGCCTTACTGTTTGGCTCTGAATATTACCATATAATGATCTGATCATTATACATCATATACATGCAATGAAATGTCACTCTGTACCTCACAAATATGTACAATTAAAAATAAAATGTATTTCAAACAGAAATGCCCAGAGCAGGGCCACTGGAGAGATCATGGCTACTGGAGAGACAAGGGAGAAGGATCTCACACCTGTGATCCCACCACTCCTGAGGCCAGCAGGAGGACCACATATTCAAGGTCAGCCTATGCAACTTATCAAGACCCCATCTCAAAATAACAATAAATAAAAAGGGATGGGGATACAGCTCAGCAGTAGAGTGTCCTCAAACCAATCCAAGTGGTACTGGAAACAAAAATCCAAAAAAACAACAAATGAATGTGTTTATATAATAAAGCTCTTTAACAACAACAACAAMAAAATATTCAACAGCAAATGTGGTTTCCAGTGGAACATCTGTAACATAGTTAATTTTATTTTCCAGAAAACTTAAGATATGACAAATTAATCACATGATCTACGTCTACTAGAAACATTGAAAATAGATATGTACAATGAACATACATAGCTTTAATGCTCTCAGTGAGGTTCGTTTCAAAAGAGAGGAACTGTTTTCCTCTCTTGGTGAAGCCTCTAATCTCAGATCCTGCAGCAATAAAGATTTTCTCCTGAGGTGTATTAAGAACCCCTCCCAGCTCCAGTCGGGCAATCTTCTGCCCTGGTAAGGTCTTGAATACTGCCTGAAAAAATCATTCACAAATAGTAAGTATACAAGTTATTGTATTGTAAACCTCTTTCCTTTACCATAAAAAACTGCTATAATTTTGAACTTACAAAACATTATAAATTTACAGAAACTTTTATAGAAACTATATAGAAACATTTTTAGAAAAAAAATCTATTTGTTTTAGTGGGTCTTCTGGTTTTGTGCTAGAAATCCTTAAACTCTGGCGTATTTATCCTGATACTTTTTCAATTGGAGCACTGTAATCATACGTAGTGGAATTCATTGTGACATGTTTGTACATGCGTGCCACACAATCTGGTTAACTTCATTCCCCGGTACCTTCCTTTTCCCTCCTCTCACCCTCCACCTCTCTTCTATTTTCATAAGACCCACCGCTCCCCCAACCTTTTCCTAAATCCTTGCAACTCAAAGCAGTGTTCACATACCAGAGCAGTATGATTAGCATTGCTAAATTCATTAAAAAGGCAGACTCTTAAACCCATTGGAGACCTACTGAGTGAGAATCTGCATTTTAACAGGATTCCATAGCTGGTTCCAGTACAGGATAAAGCTYGAGAAGGACTGGTTCTACAGGAAAGTCCACTTGGCAAACTCTTTACTAAGGTTCAATGGACATGGTACAAATACCATAACCATGTTTTTGAAACTAATCTCACCTGAACTTTGTACAATTTTATTTAAAAATTTGGTAAAGGACTAATTACAGAATTTACTGAAAAGAATATTTTAATACCTTAATCATATTTCTAACTAAAAACAACATTTCTGATCACTGACTTTTTCCGTGTTTTCCATTTATTATTTGCACCATTCCCCCTCCCTGTCATGATTCATACACAGAAAATGAGATTTCTGGGAGGCTATGTGAACAATGGAGAGGGGGTGCTTCTGGGAGTTTTAACTCTCTTCATCTGTTTTTTAAATACCATGTAATATACAGTGAGTACCCRAGCTCCCATCTCAGATGGAGCATGTGTCCCCTTTGAGTATGACAATGAAACCTTGGTTGGGCTAGCTAAGGGGCAAGGCGACAGGACAGTCGCTTCCACTCTCACCGTATGCTTTATAAGACCCCCACCTGCACACTCTAAGAGACTCTCCTGCTTACTTGAAAGGCCACTGGTTTGCAGGAAGGACTATGAATGGACCACTTGGCAAGGACTTTGGGAACAAGCCAGACCTTCCCTCACCCCACTTTCCACTCTCTGTACTGTAGAAAATTCTTAACCTAGGAGTATTAAAAAAAAAAAAAAAAAAAAAAAAGTGGTACATTTGTCTTTTTAAAAAACTTCTCCCGTCTAAAAAGGCTGCACTTACCATTGCTTCTCCTTTCTTCATACCAAAGCACAGGACTACTCCATCATGATCTCCAATAACCACCTGTAACAGAATGGTAAAAATCTAACATTCCTTTTACTATTAAAAGTTCATTAAATRGTTTCAGATTCTACACTGCACTAATGTTTAAGAAACCACATCCTCAAGTTTAAGTGTAGTATCAAATGGGAAGAGAATAGTCAGAATCATCTGAAAATGCTATCTAAATACCTTTCTCATTTCCAGCTATGTATCTGGRCAAGCTGAGTTTTCTTCACATATTTCAATCAAACAACATATCACAACAGACTGAATATAGAAAACAGATATGAGAACTCAGCCTTTGATTATGCCTGAGACTAAAGAATTTGCAAGAATATAACATCATATCACTAGTCTTTCTAAATTATTTTAGAAAAAATACTTTCAATAAAAATGTGTTATCTATATAAACATATACATTTTTAAAATATTTTTAACATTTCTTAGACTTAATTTTAATACAGTAAGTTTTGATAGATACAACCTACATAATATTCTTTGAGATCTTCATAATTTAAACATGTAAAGGTTCAAAGACCTTATTTTTATTAAAAAGCAATAGTGTTAACTAAATACAAAGTTCAACATCAAAATAATAAATGACTTAAAAATATGATAAAGCTTAAGGAAAGAATTTTCTCTACATTTTGATATACTTTATATTTTTTTTCCATATACACAATCTGGTACACTTAGAACAAATTATTGGCAGAAAAATGGAATATAGTTTTTAACAAGTTTATTATGCTATTTACTAAACGTACAGAATAATTTTTAAAATGTCCAAGAAAATTACTATGTCTAAATGTGCCTTGGTAGTCAAACTTCATTCAAATTAAAAGAAATTCATTTTCATTKTAACACGACTGTTTTTAAAAGACTAACTCCCTGGTGGAGGAGGAGGTGAGGAGAGGTAAGCAAGGTGTCCACAGTACCTTCTGTGCCGCTCTATGTCTTGACGCAGGAAGTAGCTTCATAGTCTTCTGCGAGGTCACTCCCACCTAAGAAAACAGACCAGCTGCCTAGTCAATGTTTTTGTGATACTCTGTAATTTGAAGTTATTATATCAGAATTTAAAAGGAGTAGATCAGATCATAGTGAGCCTTAATTTTCTTTTTATCTGAAATGAATGATGCCTATTTTTTTTTTTTAGAGCATTATAGTTATACATGGAAGTTGGGTTCATTTCGACAAAGTCACACATGCATGGAATGTGATGTAGCCCATTTCAGTCACTGTTCTCCCCTTTACCGTCCTCCCTCCCTTCCCCTACTCTACTGATCTTTCACTCATTTATTTTTGTTGATGCTTTCTACATTTAAAGGTGGAAATTCCCCGTGGTATACTTATACATGCACAGTGTGGTTTTGTCAAATTCATTCCACATTTTCTCTCCTTTCCTGTCCCTTCTCCCTTCCTCTCCATCTCCTACTCCACTGATCTTCCCTATATTTTTTATATCCAATCTCCCTCTCCTTCCCCCCCTTATTTTCTCTAGATTCCATATATAAAACRTTTGACCCTTGGTTTTCGAATTTCTTGCACATAGCATGATGTTTCCATTCCATCCATTTTCCAGCAAACRCCATAATTCCATTCTTCTTTACAGCTGAGTAAAAGTCCACTGTGTACGTACACCACATTTGTTTAATCCACTCATCTGCTGATGGGCATTTGGTTGGTTCTGTAACTTGGCTATTGTGAATTGTGCAGCTATCAACATTTATGTGGTGTAACCCTATTGTTATGGTTTAGATATGAGGTGTCCTCCAAAGGCTCATGTGTGAGATCGTGCAAGAAGGCGTACAGGTGAAATGACTGCATTATGAGCGTCTTAACCAATCAGTGATTYAATSCTGACAGRGATTAACTGAGTGGTACCTGAAGRCAGGTACGGTGTGGCTRGAGGAGGTGGGTCGCTGGGGGGGGGGTGTCCCTTTGGGGGCATTCCTTTGGTGCGTAGAGTCCTTCTCTCTCTCTCTCTGCTTCCTGATGTGATGTCCTGTGCCCTTTCCCCTGCCACTTACCTGGAGCCCCAGGGAATGGAGTCAGCCATCCATGAACTGAGAGCTCTGAAACCATGAGGCCTCAGATCAACGTTTCCACCTCTAACTGTTCTTGTCAGGTCTTTTAGTCACAGAGACTGATTTTAGTACTTTAGGAAAAATAACAAGCAGTGGGATAACTGGGCTGTATGGTGGTTCCATTCCTAGTTTTTCAAAAAATCTCCACACTGCTTTCTAGAGTGGTTGCACTAATTTGCAGTCCCACCAACAATGTGGTACACAAAAGGTGGCATATTATACGTGCACAGTGTGATCGTGTTAAATTTGCCAGCATTTTTAACTCTTTTTTCAAATACCTTTCTTTTTTTAACATATGTTTTTAGTTTTCAATGAACCTTTATTTTACTTATTTATATKCGGTGCTGAGAATCAAACCCAGCGCCTCACACATTAGGCAAGTGCTCTACCACTGAGCCACAACCCAGCCCYACCTTTCTTTATTTTTATGTGGTGCTGAGGATCAAACCCAGTGCCTCGCATGTGCTAGGCAAGCGCTCTGTAGCYGAGCCACAACCCCAACCCCAGCACTTTTTATATTTGTTTTCTTGATATATGTCATTCTGACTACAKTGAGATGAAATCTTAGTATAGTTTTGATTTGCAATCTCCCTGATAGCTAGAAATGTTGAACATGTTTTCATATATTTGTTGGCCATTTGTGTTTTATTCTTTTGAGAAATGTTAAGTTCTTTTGCTCATTTATTGAATGGGTTGTTTGAGGTTTTGGCATTGAATTTTTTGAGTTCTTTATATATTTGGGCTATTAACCAATCTCCTGTCAGGGGACTAGCTGGTAAAGACTTTCTTCCACTCTGTAGGCAATTTTTTCACTCTTACTCCCTGACTTTGCTATGCAAAACTCTTTTAGTTGAATGACATTCTACTTACTGACTTTTTCATTTCTTGAGCTTTGGAGTCTTGTTAAAGAAGCTGGTGTTTGCACCAAGAGGATGGAATGTTGAACCCTGTGTTTTCTTCCGGCAGTTGCAAAGTTTCTGATCTAATTCCTAAGTCTTTGATCCACTTTGACTTTTGTGCATAATGAAAGATAGGGACCTAGTTTCCTTCTTCTATATATGTGTATCCAGTTTTCCTGACATTTGTTAAAAAGCTCTTTTCTCCATTATATATAATATTTTTTTTTAGTTGGACATAATACCTTTATTCATTTATTTATTTTTATGTGGTGCTGAGGATCAAACCCAGCACCTCACACATGCTAGGCATGCGCTCTACTGCTGAGCCACAACCCCAACCCTGTCCAACATATATTTTTGACACCTCTGCCAAGTAACAGATGACTATTAAGTATGTGGGTTTGTCTCTATGTCGTTTCTTCCATTCCACTGTCTTCATGTCTATTTTAATGCCAGTACCATGCTGTTCCTCTTACTGTAACTCTGTGGTACAATTTGAGATTAGGTATTGTGATTCTCCCTATATCACTCTTCTTGCTCAGTATTATTTTTGGCTATTTTGGGCCACTTTTTCTTCCAAATGAACTTCAGGACGGCTTTTTTCCTAGTCTGTGAAGAATGTCATTGGTACCTTGATGGAGAYTGCACTGAATCTACACATTGCTTTTGGTAGTTGGCCATTTTGACAATATTAATTCTCTCTATCCAAGAACACAGAAGATCATTCCATCTTCGAAGGTTTTCTTCAATTTCTTTCTTTAGTGTCCTATACTTTTCATTGTAGAGATCGTTCACCTCTTTGGTTATATTAATCCCCAGGTGATTTGGTTTCATTTTTTGTTGTTGTTATTTTCCCCAATTTCTTTCTCAGCAGAATCACCATTGGAGTATAAAAAAACCTATCAATTGATGAATGTTGGTCTTACAGTCTACTACTTTGTTAAATTCATTTACTAGCTCTAGAAGTCTGATGGTAGGAGTTTATTGGGTCTTCAAGATATAGGATTATGTCATTAGCAAAGAGATAACTGGACTACTTCTTTTCCTATTTCTATCCTTTTAATTTCTTTCTCTTGCCTAATTGGTCTAGCTAGAGTTTCAAGAACCACAATGAATGGAAGTGGTGAATGTGGACATCCATGTCTAGTTCCTGATTTTAGAGGAAATGCTTTCAGCTTTTCTCTATTCAGTATGTTGTTTCTGGCTTGGGTTTGTCATATATAGCCTTTATAGTATTGAGGTAAGTTCCTTCTATTCCAAGTTGCTCTAGCATTTTAACATGAATGGGTGCTAAATTTTATCAAACACCTTTCCTGCCTCAATTGAGATAATCATATGATTTTTGTCCTAAATTCTATTTACATAGTGAAATTGATTTGCATATGTTGAACATCCCTGGGATGAAACCCACTTGATCAAGGTGTATATCTTCTTGATGTGTTTTTTAACGCACTTTGCTAGTATTTTATTAAGAATTTACATTCCTGGGATTAAACCCATTTATCTTCTTGATGTGTTTTAATATGGTTTGTTAATATTTTATTAAGGATTTTTGCATCTATGTTCATCAGGGATATTAGTCTGTAGTTTTTTTTTTTCCTTGATGTGCCTTTGTCAGGTTTTGGATCAGAGTTATACTGGCTTCACAAAATGTATTTGGGAATGTTTTCTCCCTTCCAGCTTTCTTTGTTAGAAGGCTTTTAATTGCTATTTCAATTTCATTGCATGATATTGGTCTGTTTAGGTTTTCTATAACTTCCTGATTAAATTTGGTCACACATGTTTAGAAATCTGTCAATATCTTCTAGATTTTCCAGTTTACTGGAGTATAAATTTTCAAAATAGTTTCTAATGGCTCTCTGAATTTCAGAAGTGTCTGTGGTGATATCTCCTTTTTCATCTCTCATTTTATTTGGGTTTTCTGTGTCATTCTTTTGGTTAGTTTGGATAAGGACTTATTAATCTTATTTATCTTTTCAAAGAACCAATTCTTTGTTGCACCGATCCTGTGTGCTGTTTTTAATTCTCAATTTCATTAACTTTGGCTCTAATCTTTTTTATTTCTTGTCTTCTACTAATTTTGGAATTTTTTCTTCCTTTTTTAAGGTCTTAAGGTAAAGCATAAGCTTATTTGGGATCCTTTTTTTTTTTTAAGTAGGCACTCAATACTATAAATTTTCCTTTTAGAACTGCTTTCATGCTGAGATTTTGATATGTCACTCTTCCCATTTGTTTCTAAAAAAAATTCTTGATTTCTCTCATTTCCTCTAGGCCCATTTCTCATTTAAAACTACTATTCAATTTCCATGTGTTTATGTGATTTCTATTATTTTTCTTGCTGTTGATTTCAAGTTTCATTCCATTATGATCTGATAGGATGCATGGGACTTTGTGTGTGTCATTGATATTTACTAATATACTGAAACCTAGAATATGTGCTATTTTGGAGAAGATTCCATGAGCTGCTGAAAAGAAAATAAATTCAGCTGTTTTGGAGTGAAACAGTCTCATAGGTCGATTTGATTTATATTATCATTTAGGTCAGAAATATCTTTATTGATTTTTATTTGTTTGATCTATTGGTGACAAGGGTGTGCTGAAATCACACAGTAGTATGATACTGGGGTCTATCTGTGATTTAATATCAAGACATTTTTTATGTAATTAGGTACACTAACATTTGGTGCATGTTACAGTCTGTAAACAAGTCAAGATGGCGCCTGGCATTTTGCCAGAGGGAGTGGTTTGTGAAGTAACGCCAGCGAGCCATTAAGTGTGGAGATTCCTTACTGGTTGACTGCTGTATCTAGTTTATGTTAATTAAGATAAGCTGTGTGGAATGTATATATACCCCTCCTGTCCTACAATAAATGGCTCCTACTCCTGCTGTATCAATCTACACAAGTTGCTCRTAACTCCCCCCCTCCCCCCGGGTTATTTTGCTGCAGCCGGACTGTGGCAGACACATACATATTACTATCATTATATTTTCTTAATGAACTGTTCCCTTTACCAGTA